GATAAATTGATCACGGAAATTGCAGTTTAATTCTTGAAATTGTGTGTCTTTAGTCTCGTGTATTATTAGACGAGTCAATTTGTTATCATTCTAATACGTACTATCAAGACTATTGATTACGAGTTTGGTGAATTCAACTCTCTTTCTGTAAGGTTATTGTAGACAGTCTGTAACCTTAAGTTGGGCTATATGAACCATCAAATACGGAGTTGGTTTTTAGTTAAACAAATTGATTGAAAGTGATGGATGCCTTTTGAGGGTTATGCTTAGTTTGGTTGGTTTGAGGTTAAAACATTTATTTCCAAGACATGGGATTCTTTTTTGGGTTTACTTTGAAGATATGTCACACTTATTGGATCATGACATGCAACATTACAACCGTGAACAACCATCTTCCCCTACCACTCCAGTCTTTTTTTCAAAGGGAGTCGAAACCCCAACTGCGAATGGCCACGTGGCCGCCGTCCGAGTTCCAACGGCGATTCCTCACCAAAATTCCACCTTTGCCCACGCCACGTGGACGCACAAGCACGTGACACCCACGCCACGTGTCGGTCCCTGAAAGGCCCAAATCACGTGCTTCCCCCCTCCGCGTCATTAGTTAGCAAATGGGGAAAACGGTGCCGACTCGGATGCCACTAGTACGCAGTACTACTTCCTCGCACGTCTTTTTTGGATCAATCGGCAGTGGCCACGCGGCATCGATTAAGTCGCCGCAATCAATCAACTCGGCCAAATCCCTCGTGGCCCATGCCGGGTCGGATATTTTTGTATGGAAACTTAACCGTTTCTAGCCGCTGGTAAAAGCTTGTCGGCCAAGATCCTGCCATGATACTTGATAGCGGATATTAACAATAGTAAACACTAAGGGGTCGTTTGGAGAATATGAGTTTAAATTTATAGATTGTCAATAATCTAAAGATTATAACTCTTCGGATTGTTGAAAATAGATTTTAAAATGTTTATTGTTTGGTAACTGTGATTGTTAACATTCAATGAAAATAAGAAAATTATGTTTATATTAAATAACGTGTTTATCCTTAATAAAAAATAGAGTGTTTGAGAAATATTAAAAACTTTGTTGATAAATATATTTAATATGATAAATAAATAAAACAAAGAGAAAAAGTAGGAGGAAAAAATTCTCACGAATCAAGATATAGAATCTCTTTGATTATGAGAGATTTGATATCCGTAGATTTTAGAGATTTGAAATCTCTAAAGTTCAAATCCACAATACAAAAAACAACAAAAAAACATAACTATCTACAAAATCTACGAATTCAATGAATCCACGCCCTAAATCTCATTCTCCAAACGACCCCTAAAAAGGAATTGTGATTTTGTGATCATATAAAATTAATTAATAAAAGAATAATAGTAAAAAAACTGTAACAATATCAGGTTAGTCGGTTAGCGGTTACATTAATAAAGTTACATTAATAAAGTAAACTATAATCGAAAATTAAACTGAAAGCATCGTTGATTTTGCTATTGAAATATAGCTATTGACATTGGATCGATAATATCACATGATTTATATTGGAGGTCACTTATTATACTGTTATGGTCAACTGACTAATACAGAAACAATGCGGTTAACAGTAAGCAAAAAATTAAGTAACGCGCTTAACCGATAATTGAATAAATTATTACTATTATAACCGAACTGAATCAACTAGCTAGCAGCCATATTGACGCCCATCCCATTTATAGTCTTTAGCCTTGGTGATTGATATGCACTTAAGCCCCCCAAACAAGAATTAGACTTCTATGTGCTTTTATATGGGATTCTTTTGCTGTTGAGGTAGTGGTTGGCATTCGGTTGGTTCAGTTTCGATCGAACTGAAATTGTGCATACCGGATCCTCGAATTCCACCAAAATTTAAACAGAATTCGAACCAAATTATAATTCGGTTCAGTCAATTTAAGCTGAATTATAATTTGGTTCGGCTCGAAATTTCACACAAAACTGAATTTATGAGAATACTTGTATCTTTTCCATTTTAAATTATTTTTCACCCCTAATTTAATAATAAATATGCAATTATATGCATTATTAATCATAAAATCAAACATTTCAACACATAAGTCATAAAATACTAAGGGTGTGTTTGGATAATGTATATCAAATGTAAGGTATTTAAAATACTAGCATTTGAAATGCATGTATTTGAAATACGTGCAATTCAAATTGAATACTAATTGGTAATTTATTTGTATTTTAAATTTTATAATTTTGGATTTTAATTTTAAATTTTCTACTCACTCCCTACAAATTTTGGTAAATTGCAATTTGGTACCCAAAATTATTTTTCCTTGCCACTTAGTATCAAACTTATTTTTTCTTACCACTTAGTACCTAAACTTCAAAAAGATCACAAAAAGGTCCACAAAATTTTGATTGTAAGATTACATTTTGGTACCTCTATATGTTTTGCCTCACATTTGGAAATCACCTCATGAATTTGACACAAATCCAAATACTAAATGTAATTAACATCCAAATACTAAATGTAATTAACATCCAAATACATGATTTGATCGTCTTTGACAAAAAAAAATACATGATTTGACATTTAGGGCTCGTTTGCTTCATGAATTTGAAAAATGAAGGTTTTGGTGAAAACCTGGGTTTTACAAAACCATGGATATATGATGGAATTGCCCCATTTGGTTTTTGGTACAAACCATCGTTTGCTTATTGGATTTCATGATGGATTTGACATTATTATATTTGTGCTTGTATTAGTAATTTACCTTAGTGCCCTTATTGAGTATTATTTATATTTACATTATAATTTTTGTTTAAAACAAGTTTCATACAATAGGTTCGTCCCACTACCACAATCGGAATAAATGAACATCATTAATCAATAACAACATCATATTATACACACAATTATATTAGACAATTCCTTAAGGTTTTCAATATTACAAAGTATGCTTTGCGATTAATCATATAGTGCTTTCGTGCAAAGAATAATAATTAATATTGAATGCAAAATTAATATGCACTTCAAGTTGGTAATTAGTAAATGAAAGAAGATGAGTAGATGATTAGTGAAATAAGTAGGGTTAAAATTGTAAAAAGTCATAATGGAATTTGTACCCCAACACAAATCCCACCTCTTGGGGTGGAATTCTCAAGTCTGTGGGGTCCACAGATTTGGACCCTCTAAGTCCATGAGCCCCACGGATTTATTCCCCCTAAACCATCAAGCAAACGACGGATTGTGTACAAAATCCATGATGCTTGGTTTTTAAGTACCAAATCCATGATCAAATACCAAATCAAAATCATTTTATCCAAACACACACTTGATTTAAATATTTAAATATCAAAACAAGAAAATGTTAGAGAGTGGTATAAGATCAAGTATAACCTTCTCCCAACAACTCGAGTTATTGAGACCAACTGGTTTATGACATGGTACAGAGCTGGTTTGTCAAGTGGTCATGTGTTCGAATCTCCACGACTCCCAATATTAAACAGTTGATTAAAGCACATTGTATGGTGGGCCTGAGCAAACTTCAAACTCATGGGTTGGCTTTCGTTTGAGATGTCGTGTTAGAGAGTGGTATAAGATTCAGTATAACCTTCTTCCAACAACTCGAGTTATTGGGACCAATTGGTTTATGATAGTACAAACATAAAATCCATCTTTTGGAACTTGCAATTATAGTAAACAAATGGATGAGAATTGAGATGTGGTTGAACATAGAAAACAAATGGATGTGTTGTATGAAAAGTACGTACTAATTAGTTTGGGTGTGAAACCTAGCTTTTGGTATTTGCTATTTAATTCAATGTACACAAGAGGAGGTGGGATGGATGGTCATGTGTTAGGCTGATGAACTAATCAAATGAAAATTGGTGGGTAAAGGTTCGATCCATTACGGGTACACTACACATCCTCACATTTATAGGTGGCCAATTATACGGAAACCAAACCAAAAAGATCGATCCAAAAGGAAATGTTGTTCTTTTTAAATTTGTCACTTATAAATATTGAATTGTAGCTTGTTTTGGGCAGGACTTAAAGAGTTGAAATTGTACCACAATATAAAGGTCAAATTCTCTTATAGTACAACTCTAACTTGTACATTTATCGTTGTGGTACAACTTAAAGCATAGTAGAAATGCTCCTGTTTTAACCCTTTTCATGATATTGAATATATATATCCACAACAGATGAGATAAGGACAGTTTGAAACATGGACAACCCATTTCCGGAAATTTTGGATGTTAATAAACCAAACAGAACGTGGAGAGGCAGAGTAACCGAAAAAATGGGACCAAGTAAGTCTCATGCATGAATTAGGCAGACAGATTGGATTTCCAAGGAACTGAGAAGCCGCAAATCTATTGTTTCAAATATTGAAAATCGGCGGAGGACTCTTGTTCTACTTTTGATCGATCTCATGCATTCCCACGCCATACTTCTCAGCCGCTCAGCCACCGCTTCAATTTACTAGGCACCGGCTAAAGAGAAGAGAGAGCCGCTCCTCCTCCTTCGTGATGATCACATTTCTTGCTAGATTGTAGACATTGGGTGAATTTTTCTTTTTTTATTCTTAAAATTCAAGTTGTAGTAGAGGCATTTATAAATACTTTGTTGCATTCTTTATATATACAGGAGAGATACACACAATCGTGTGTTAATAAAAAATCTCGAAACCAGTGAATTGTGATTGGGCTACATGTATCTCGACAGTAGTTATTTTTTCTACTACTCTGTGAGAGCTAGAACGAGAATCAAAAATTGTGTTGAAACTCATTCATGCATCTAAGACGAGGAAGTAGTTGGTTTATGTCACGTTATCAGAGCTAGTTTGTCATTTAAGATCGAGCGTTCAAGTCCACATGACCCCTAATATTGACCGTTGTCCACATGATAATAACGGGTCTGTACAAATTTCAACCACACAAACTGGCTGACTTTCATTTAAAGGAAGGATGTAAATAAGTAATTTGGTACCATAGAATATGAATCTCTCCCAACAGTTGGAGTTTATTGGAATCCCTTGTGTTTGACTGTTAGAGTATCCACGTCAATGGTATTTGCTCAATTGCAAATCCTACGTGGCAGTCAATGTGCAATTTCAAATGGGATTGCACCAATGTAGTGGTCAATTGCAAATATGCAAGTTTGTATTAAATGAAATTTAAGGTGCAAGCCACATAGGAAAAATAAAAAAATAAAAATTCTCTTTCTTGATTTATTTATTTTATAATTATAAAGTCATTTAAATCTCATATATGCAATTTTCAAATAAATTACATTGATGTAGGAGCAATGAAATAAAAGTGAGTTGGATTGCATAAATTAAAATGAAAATAATAGTTTTACAATCACATTTTTTTTATGGATGAGACCTAAAATCGCGGAGCAAGTGAATAAATGTCCAATGGCGTGGGTTGACGATGATGGGGCTGAGATTGGGATTTGTGGAATTACCGACACAGCTGGTAGACTGGAAACTTTGGAACTACTGCTTCTTCTTTCTTGTTGTGGATGAGGATCGACGACTACTTAATATAATATTCCATAATAAATAAATGAAGCAACCTTGTGAATAATAATAATAGTAATGTTAAAACAATAAATAAACTCACACGGCTCCCCCAGCTTTCGATTCGCTGGATACACAAAATTGACAATTTAGCAGTGAGACCATGAGCCAGCCCAGCCCAGCCCAGCCCTCAAAGTTCAAAGGCAGCTAGCTGGCCTGGCTGGAACTGGAATGGAATTGGCCGTTGGGGGCCAGACCACCGAGTCAGCGGTCAACATAAGACGGAGAAAGAATGTAAGATTATCTGGATTTGATGTTTACTTTAATTAGCAGATGGAGATTAGATTGATGTCGTCCGAATTCGGGTCATTGAATAATGGGGGTGTGATTTTGGCAGTTGGATTAAGTCAGTCAATTTCTCCCCACTTGTTCTTAGCCTCATGTTCATACCGATAAGGGATGGAGAAACTATACAACCTACCTACAGTTGGTTTGCGTCTATATGCTGTTCCATGAGTTTATTGGCTGATTTTTATTTCTATTTTTATAATGATTTGATATTTGGATCTATTCCTCAAAGCTGAAAATGGGATTTTCATGAGATTATCGTCCAAATTTAAACTATTTTGGGTGCAATTTAAACTATCGCAATCCAATACAGCTTCAAAGATATTAAAGACATATTATTAACTACTTATGAGCGAAAAGAAGATGCTTGATCGAATAATAACAAAATTTCAGCTACTCCTATTAAACCGAGAAACCTCGCTTCTTGCGAAGAGAATGATGTCGAATCGATCCATGATAAAATCGTCATAAGTTCCAATCAAACAAAGAACACGAAAAAATAAGAGCCAGAGTAGGTAGAAAAATTATAGTTAACTTATTACTATTTTCCTCTAAATGGATCAATCTGTTTATTTATAAATTTCCAGCATTTAAAAAAAAAAACCTCGAGAAAGAACTCGTTTATGAATTCCATTAAAATAAAGGAATTGATCTAGTACGAATTAAATGTCAGTATATGGTACTGTGTGAATTGAATTGTCCCGCGACTTATACTCTTGATTCCAAAGATTGTGAAATCATATCCAATGTTATACAGAAAAAGGCAGTGCTAAATTATTTTGTATTAAAATCATGATTTAACCATTTCTCATAGCTAAAACTGCCTATCAATTTGAGATTCTTACTCAAAATTCATGACTAATACTATACAATTTCTAAAATATGGGGAATTAATACCAATCCATTAGACAAACACTACCACTTTGAAAAACATCAATACCATTGCAGAAATAAATCTATACCATTACACGAAAACTACCATTGCAGAAATAAATCTATACAATTACACGAAAACTACCAATATAAACAATCTATACCATAAACAATCAATACCATTGTAGAAATAAATCTATACCATTACACGAAAACTATCAATATAAACAATCAATACCATTACAGAAATAAATCTATACCATTACACGAAAACTACCAATATAAACAAAGAGAAAACTACCAAAACAAAGAGCAGTTCCAGTTCCTCATCCGAGATAGTCCTCTGAAACCATGGGGAGAACGAAGCAAGATAATCAATTATTATACATATATCCCCAATAAGAGATGCCCTGTTCAATAGAAGCAAGCACATATTTCCCCAAAAAGGAAGATGGTTACTGCAACGCTCTGAAAACCGTACCTGTGCAGATAGAAGCTGCAAAATCTTGTTGAGCACTCGCAAACGATGGGTGGCGTAACTGCTGTTAGCAGGAAGTTTATTCATACTCTTAACCTCTTCGTGAACCACCGCATTCTTCCCCTCATTCTCCATCGTCTGCCATCTCGCCGGCGTTTGAGTAGACAGAGGAGCGGCATCGGCGGCGACATCAGCGACGAGAGTGTTACGTGAAGGCGGCTGCGACGGGTTTGGCTCGAAGGAAGATAGAACTAGGTTTAGGTAGATTATATAGAATAATCAGGTGTTGTCACTTTTTAATTTCCAAAATTACCCTAAAAGAATCTTGACCGTAAGATTCAAAAAGAAGGGAAAATAATTAATCAAATGGTATATAAAGAGGTTGCCACCGTGATTACTAAAAAACAAGTAATCACCCTAACCCATTCCCTACGGGCATTTCTACTATGCTATATAGTATTGGTGCTTTAATGTACAACTTAAAGTTGTACCATAACATGAAATGTATAAGTTTAGATTGTACCATAAAAGAATTTGTACCATTATGTTATGGTACAACTTTACAACTTGAAGTTGTACCATCACATAAAAGTACAAGTTTAAGTTGTACCATAAAAGAATTTGTACAAACAGTATAGGTACAATCTGAAATTGTACCATAACATAAATGTACAATTTTAAGTTGTACCATAAAGGCAAAAACCTATAGCACCAATACTATATAGCATTGTAAAATTCCTCATTCCCTACCCATTCCCTAAAACATGGCATAATTCCCAACGAAATTTCAATTATACATGAATTATAAGAGATAGCTAACTAACTCAGATTTAACTTCAGTAAAAAAAAAACTCAGATTTAACTTCTCCGGTATTCAGTTGAACGGTCGAAAGGAAAGATGGAAGGAAAGGCAAGGATGAAGAACAAACGACCACAGTCCAACTTGGAATACTACTGCCTCCAGATTTTCCAAATCCTCTCAAATTAATTAAAAAAGATTTTTTCCTACAAAAAAAGGAAGAAGATTTTCAATAGGTTCCCACATCACGCGCCCCGTTTCCTTCCACGTTAGGTTTATTCCATCCGGATAAGCTTCAAAAGTTCCCCTGCCCACCTCCTCTATCCATTTCTACGCGCCTGTTCCTTTTCCACCCACCAAAATCCAATTTATAAATTAAAATTTATATTTAACGCCGCACACATTTTCCCATTTTACTTAAAAAAAGTTTTTCCACCCGCATATATTATTTAATTTCCTCACCATATTTCCCACGACTTTCAATTTCAAATTCCACGAGCCTTCCATTCCACGCGCCTTTCCTCCACGTATAAATACCCTCCCCCACCCCATTTCTCTCTGTCAGAAAACCCAAAAAGCCTATTCTTCTCCACACAAAAAAACGACGATTGCCGGTTACCGTTTCAACCTCCGACGATACCCGAACTTTTAGAATCAGACAATGGTTGATCTACACTGGAAAGCCAAGATGGTCTCCTCCAATCTCCCCAACTCCCTCCAAGTACAGATCCCGGCGCCGGCGTCGCCGGCCTTCCGCGGCGTCACCAGTGTTTCGCCGGTCTCGGCTTCCGACTCCGCCTGCTCAGCCTACGAGTCGTACCTCCGCCTCCCGGAGCTGAGGCAGCTCTGGTCCGACCGGGACTTCCCCGAGTGGAGTAATGAACCGGTACTCAAACCGGCTCTCCACGCGCTGGAAATCACTTTCCGGTTCGTCTCCACGGTTTTATCCGACCCGAGACCGTACGCGAACAAGAGGCAGTGGAAGCGGCGGCTGGAGTCGCTGGCCACGGCTCAGATCCAGCTCATCGCCGCCCTGTGCGAGGACGACGGCGGCGGTGCGCCGGTCGTCGGACTCAGCTCCGGGAGCGGGGTTTTGGCGAGGGAGAGCAGCTACGCGGAGGTGTGGACGATCCCCGGTGGCGGCGAGGAAGATTCTTCCTCCGCCTCCGCCGTGGCGGTGAGCCGAGTCAGCGAGGCGAGCCTTCTCCCTCCGCTGTCCACGTGGCAGACGTCGGAGGACGTCGCGCAGAAGATCATGTACTCGATCGAGTGCGAGATGAGGCGGTGTCCCTACACGCTAGGCCTCGGCGAGCCGAATCTCGCCGGGAAGCCGAACCTCGACTACGACGCCGTTTGCAAGCCGGCCGAGCTCCACTCCTCTTCCCTCAAGCGGAATCCGTACGACCATCAAATCGAGAACCAAGAGAACCAGACTCTCTACACGGCGCACCAGATCCTCGAATCCTGGATCCAGGTCGCCAAACAGGTGATTACTCGGCTCACGGAGAGAATCGCGGCGGAGGAATTCGAGGCGGCGGCGAACGATTGCTACTTTTTAGAACAGATCTGGAAGCTTCTCGCGGAGATCGAAGATCTCCACCTCCTAATGGACCCGGACGATTTCCTCAAACTGAAGAACCAGCTGTCGATCCGATCGTCGTCGGCGGAGACGGAGCCGTTCTGCTTCCGCTCGCGGTCGCTGGTGGAGATCACTAGATCCTGCAGGGAGCTGAGGCACAAGGTGCCGGAGATTCTCGCTGTGGAGGTGGATCCAAAGGGCGGGCCGAGGATTCAGGAGGCGGCGATGCGGCTCTACAGGGAAAAGTCCGATTCCGAGAGGATTCACCTGCTGCAGGCCTTGCAGGCGGTGGAGACGGCGCTGAAGAAATTCTTCTACGCGTACAAGCAGGTCCTCGTGGCGGTGATGGGGAGCCTGGAGGCGAAGGCGAACTCCGCCGGAGCGGCGGTGGTCGTCGCGAGCTCCGACTCGTGCGACTCGTTGACTCGGTTGTTTCTGGAGCCGACTTATTTCCCCAGCTTGGACGCTGCCAAGACGTTTCTTGGGAAGTTCCACGAAAGGAGGAATACGAGGCAGTAAAAAAGCGACGGTAAAAAAACACTAATCGGGTAATTTTATTTCCACAGAAGTCAATTTTCCCCCACACTGAAGCGTTTCGAAACGTTAGCGGCATTCCGTTGTATTGTGGAAAGTTCTTTTTTGTTTACCGGTTTATATGTAAACAATATATTTAATTATTGTGTAATTGTAATTGCATACCCTTTTGCGAAATCGATCCATACACGATTGTTTTCCTCGAGAGTCGGGACAACAAAAGAACAAATAGGTTGGGAATTTAAATTAATTATTAATATAAACAGAGATTAAGAACACCATTAGGAGCAGTTAATCATCATTAATCAATAGTATTGAGGAGCCCAAACATTAAACGGCAGCGCTTCGTGAAGGGGAGACACGTTTGGATACATTCCAAAAACACGGCCGCTGCAATTCTGAAATTGAATCCCCAGACTATCAGTAAACAACGGCGGCGGCAGAGTGTCGTCGTGCATCATCGATTTCCCGCCGTCGGCGAATCTTCCACCGGATTGCCACACCGGGATAGAATTACAATGCTCACCACCATCTCCACCACCAATGGGTTGCGGATGGCTCTGTACAGGATCGGCAAGGCCGCCATTATCATTCCAAGACACGGCAACCGGCTGGTGGGTTGCAGACGGCGGTGAAGCTTGCTCCGACGAGATCCGCCTCTCAATTTCCTCCTCATTACTCTCTCCCTCGCTGCCGTCGTCGTCGTCACTTGATTCATCACCACTCTCTGTTTCCCCCTTTTGCTCCTTCCCCTGCAATCTCAATTTCTCCTCCAATTCAGCAATCTTGGACCCCAACAACCCTGCCGCGTTCGCCAGAGCGTCCTTTTCCGACGAAATCCCGTCGATCCAGTCGGAAAGCGGGTCCGCCAGGCTCCGAATTCGGGCCCTCCTCCTATTCTTCTCGCCGTCCCTTTTCCTCCGCTCCAGGCAGCCCAGAACCGTCATCTCGCCCTTTTTCTCTTTGTCAGCCCTCCTGTAAGCTTCGATCGCCTCCCGGGCTTGCTTGGGGTCCTCCGGCCACAGGAATTTCACCCTGCCGTCGACTCCGCTGGATGCCACGCAGACGGAGACGCCGGATAGCGTTTGGAGCTGGTAAGCTTTGGTCTTCAGGGTCGGCAGCCGCTTCTGGAGGCTCGTTCTTCTGGTGAGCTCGTTCCCTTCCATAATCTTCCGAATGAATTTTGCTTTCCTGGCTTCCGTTTTACGGACCATGCCGCCGCCGCCGACGAATTGCTGCATTGTATCCATTCTGGTACTTCTTCTTTTGCGTTTGTCTTCTCAATACGAGTCGAGGTTCAAATTGTCGAACATAATATAATCAAAATACACAGCAATGAGAACGAACAAAGAGAAAGCAACAAGCGCGAATGTGATGTGATGTAACCTACGATTGAGGTAATGATCTAGCTGATAACATAAATCGCCCTTCTGTAACGAACCAAAACTCTTGAGAAGCTTTGGAAGAGATTAAGGCGGAGTGTCTCTATTTGTAGAGGCAACATAGCCATGAATCTAACCTTAGGGAAATAAGGAAAACCAACTTCTATATTTAAGAAGGAAACTTAATGCTAATATGAAAAAGGAAAACAAGACTTGGAACATCTTCCTTCGCGCAATCCGTATCCCTCTAGGATTCAGCATCCGATAGTGGCCCAACTAATAGAACTCTTTTTGCTTCCTGGATGCCATCGATGTTTGTTGCAGCCCATCAGTCCATCGTTACCACAATGGTGGGCTGACAAGTCTAGCCCAATTGACAGACTGGTCGGGAAAGACCAGCCTTTGTTGCTTTCGAAATGACAATTTCGTCTGATCAAATGTGTGTTGAAGACTCAAATAAGTGTAGATTATGCATCCAATGGGAGTGTAGGGTCCAAGATATGGTCAGTAACCACACGAGAGCCGTAGATCTGGGGATATAGCAATCGTGTGGCTGGGCCGGATGCGGAGTGGGAAGGGGCATTTTTGTCCGTTTTTGTATTTTTAATTTTTTTTTATTTATTCCGCATTTCAATGGCTGACTTTTCAATGAGAGAGAGAATTGACTTTTCTCTGCAACTCAACTTTCTTCCTTCTCTCTTCCTTTTTTCAATCTCTTTCCAGATCCTTTCTCTTTCTCTATTCCTTCTCTCTTACTTTTTCGTAATGACAAATTCGTCCACTATGATCAAATGTGTTGGAAGACTCAAATAAGTGTAGATTATGCATCCAACGGGAGTGTAGTATAGGGCGACCTGACTTCTTTGTATTTCGAAACCTGAAGGTGAGGACCGAGTAGTAGAAGAACCTCACCACAGTGGCGGATCCAGGGGGTGGCCACCCCGGGCCCCGGCCCAGCCCTCCTCTGGATTCATCGTTAGTATAGGCCTTATGAATTTTTCGATTTTAGATATTCGGGTCGTTGTTATTTTAAAATAAGATTGGGTATAATTAGAAAAATAATTCAGATGAACATATTCAGAATCACTACTCTAAATTTAGCTTATAAATTCTAACCCCAAAGGTTATTCGTCTAAAAAACAATGAAACCTAAAAATTCAAAAAGTTTAAAACGTAAAAGACTAAAACATATATGAGGTTTGTTACCTTGGAAAATTTACTAGAGCAGCTGGTGGATATAGGGATGAAAACACAATTCAAATAGATGAGTAGATTGATTTGTCTAGTGTTGATGCTGCTCGTTTCAACAGCTAATACGAATAGAACCTTTTCAACAATGAAACATGTGAAAATTGATTTGCGCAAAAAAATGAGCTATGGATTTCTAGTCGATTGCTCAAGTATTTTATTTGAAACAGTGTACTATTGGTATGGATGTGGACTCCATTATTAATGCATTCGCTAAATTAAAATACCGTCGTGTACAATTTTACATTGTAAAAAAATTATAATTATTATATTTTTTTATTATTCTAATTTTCTAATAAAATACGGCCCAGTGCACTTCTGTGTTTTGGATCCGCCGCTGCCTCACCATCAGGAGAGCGAATGCCGGCAAAACCATCAACGAGAAGGACCACTACGGTACTCCAAGAACAAGCCTAGCAGTGCTGAGATGGTGTGCTAAGGACGGTCTCATGAGCTGAGGCGAGGATAGTGTGACGCCTAAGCTTATTTTGGACAACCAATGAGGTGTGATCAATAGGCCATACTTACTTGTTGCCTAAGCAACCCCCACGAAGAGGAAGGAATAGAACTAGAATTCTAGAAACGCTATGCAAGCAGCGTAATTGGCACCGGTCAATTTGACAAGGATTCGTGAAGAAGGGAACCAAAAGTTTGCTACTCGCTAAAAGAAATTGACAGTCGAGGAGCTCTGGCATTAGAACTATGCTTGAGATTGATGAAGCAACCAAGAAAACACTTTCCAAGTTATCCTAGCAAAGATATTAACAGGAACCTATCTCACGGCCAACTCCTTAATAATCATGGTCAGTAATTTCAAACCTACTGCCACTGCGAGAACATTCTGATCTCTCCATATGTTTCTTGTTCCTTGAACGTTATATTCCGGTCTTGGTAACTGCTTCTCTCTTAGTGGCTTTGGGTGTTAGCAGAACAGAAGCCATCAAGAAGCAGGGAGGCAGAGGCAAGTTTATTCCATTTTGCTGCGAATTGATTAGGTTTGTATGTTATCGTAGTTTCTACAAGGACGCGTCGATTGAGCGGCAGAGAAGTCCCACTCAACAACAGGGTACATGTATGAGAAGGCTAGTAGATAAGTCCCAGACCAGAAACTAACCTGTGGGATTGTATTAGGTTCAGCAATCAGCTCTATCCCTTGGATCAACTGGTCAGTCCACTCAGTTCTGGACGCGATCTCCCAATGTCACAGAACTCCACAACCGAGTTGGAGCTCCCAGCCTGAGTAAAGGTTAGCAATAAACAATACAGTGAAAAGCCTGTTCAGATATAAGTTAAGAAAATTCAATTCTTACCATGTTGACAGCCAAACAGATGAGAGTAAGAACCATTTGTTGCTGTCTGTTCCCAACTGCTGTAAATGTAAGACCAAAATATGGACATTCGAAAGGGACAGGTTTTCTGTTTTCAGAAAGTAGCTTCACGTATATGGTTTCCAAGACTAAATCTATCATAGAGTGGCAAACTGCCGTTGAAGTTGCTTGGTAATGGTACAAACAATCTGTCCAAGCAGATTGCTAAACATGTATTCTATCTGAACAAAGAAATGAATGATACAAGAAACGAGGAAACTACACTATTATACAGCTCGAGGGATGTGAAAGTTAACTAGGAAGAATGAATCAGAGACACTCAAATTACCGAAGAGGTGAACTTTTCTACCAAATTGAAACAATAGATTGCGTGGTGGTGTGAGACCTAGCTAGCATCACCAGAACCAGCTACTGCGGCTATCAACTGCCTTGACTGTTGTGGATACCAAGGGCATTCGTCCAAATTCGGCAACAAATCTGTTGATACACAGACTTCTTCTATCCTTATGACCACCCAAGCTACTGATCCCAGTCGAGCCGATCTCAAATATTTTGCCTACAATAAACACAAACCCATGAGTGTGAGGAATAACAAACAAATATTCATCCAACATGTTTAGATTAGAAGCTGTTTCAATTGTCTGCATGATCCAAATTACAGGAAGTCATTACGTACCCCAAAAGCATAATCTAAGACTTGTGTTAAGCCTATTATCCGCTTTCAGGCAATTACACTTCGTCTTTGTTATTTATTACCCAAAAAAAAAAGTCATCACCCCTCCAAAAGTATCAGGCTGAATTAGTTCCGATTCATTCAATCGGGTGGAATTTTATTGGAGAAGTAGTCAACTTGTGCAAGTAGTAGAATAACAGGAGCAAATAGTAAAAATGAAAGTGTGCGTGAAACAACCGTAATAAGATCATGAGTGTGAAATGCTTAAGTGGTTCAAATTTCGATTTTAACTGTTGAAGTTGGAAATTGGAAAGATGTATTTAATACAGAAGCTGGTTATTAGATAAATTGGAGGCACCAACCTATTGCATCAATTAGAGTTGATCTAAGGTTCTCAAACAACAAAATCAAATTCAAGAACATTAAGAAAAGGGATAGCATATAAGTTCATCAATGTCAGACAAATGACATACCCTTCACCCATACAGGTGGTGCATCAGTTGCATTTGCAACTAGGAACGACATAGCGATATCTTCACAATTCCTGTCAAATTCCATTTCATGATCAGTGGGGAACACTTTTAGCAAAATGCATAGAGAAAAGTCATCACACAAACTAATTGGGAAGCACCTGTTCTTGGTTATATAGTCCTTCAGTGATGCTGGCATCTCATTTGTGTACAACCTGAGATACTTTTTGTGGAAAAATGCAGCCTTTGAGAGAACCATGCTATAAGTACCCGTCCACCAAACAGACCACCATCCACCGTAGCTATAGTATTTATTATTGTCGCGCTGCATCAAGATCAAAGATTTACAGAGCTTTAGAATGATTACATCTACTACCAGATTTTATATGTGCAAGAGAAATAACCAAACAGCAAAATCCCCACCCCACATTTCAGCTATTTTCATACTTCATACATAATGCATTACAGCCCCATCACACTTGAAGATACTTTTTATGGAAAATTGTTGGTTCATATTCTAGATGGAAGAATGTACGACAACATCAAGGCACCATGCAATATGCATATTAGTCAAGTACAACATTGAAGAAAAATATTAAGGATGTGGGATGCCCAACTAGTTCCTCTGGAGAAATTGTTAGGAGTTTGACCAATTTTCTAGCTTAAACCAAGCAACTTTTTCCATGCAGGTGAAAAATACACATTTGACTCCCACAAGAATATTAATCAAGCAAGTTAAGCATCACTCATTGACTTCAGCCGGAAATGTCATACCGATTGCTCCAGCCAATGGGCACGTGGCACAAAGCCCACCATGTTATCTGGAGCACTTTGCCATACATGGAAAGCAAACTCCACGGATGAGCATGGAAATACGACATCATCATCAATTGAGAAGACAGCATCTGTCTTCAAATCTTTGATCTCTTTGAATCTATTGTTCAAACTGTCTTCCTTATTGATGTCAAATTTCAGTTCAACTTGCCTCGGGCCTCTCGACTTTGACTGAAGGATGCGGTTTAGATGTGAAACAAGAGGATCAGAAGGAGGATCAGGTTCACTCCATACAATGTGTATTGAATCGAGTTCGGAACATGATGCATAGTGAGCAATTGATTGCTTCAACAGATCATATCTTTTCCAAGTATTCATTACAATGGCATAACCTTTCCTGCATACAAAATGGAAACCAATATTTTAATTATTAAAAGCCATCTAAGCTAAAACTCAGAGCAAGGTGATAAAAACTCTTAACAATTTCATAGATATGTTAATATTCTGTTGATCTTCAAATGTTTTATGTGCTCCCACAGCTCAAGGCATCATAATTACCAGATGAAGAACACAGTTAAACTATAGCCTAATCAAACCGTTCAAAAGTATTTTAGATTCCTAAGCACCATAAGAACAAAAAGGACATTTCCTCCGGCAAAAATCCCAAAGTAACCAACAAACAGTTCTATACAAGAAACACAACAAACAAACTAGCAACACCATAGCAGCGAACGATTTTCCCTTCTTTTTTGAAAAAATCCACACCAATTATTTCAAATGTGCCTCGGGTATCGGAAAACCATGATTTTTCTCTTGCTTCATCCTTTGTTTATGGGGAACAATTCAAAGTAGACCAAACATACTGATCAAATGAGCTTGTTTCACTAAAATAGTAAAAACAGCACAAAGGATGAAATAAGATACTCAAAGCCAGGTCTCCATACCAGGGTTTCGTACATTCAACTAGAAAGGTAGGCAAAGGATACTCCTAAACTACTCTGTGAAACCAACAAACCTAACCAAACTCAACCAGCAGGCAGCACGCCATCGTACAATCATTTGTCAGCACTAATCTTTTGGCCTCAGCATTACCACACAAAGGGCAGACTTTTTCTCTGGCAGAATGAAAGTAAAATGTGTTTCTGGTAACCAGTAACAAGGATACCTGTCATTTCCCATTTCCCTTGTTAATTTGCTCTTGTCTAAAATGGAGTAAACATAAGACACCCAAGGCAAAATCTCCATATGAAATTGCTCACATATTCAACTCAAAACGTTGAGGAAGCAAACATTCACCCAGATTTTTCATAAAGGATTCCATTTCTACTCAATCAAACTAGTCAAAAGTTCAACAAGCTCGACCACTTGGCACTATGCTTCCATTCAATCCAAACTACTACTGCCATTCCACTAAAAATCTTTAACTCAGCTCATAGAACTGGTGGAACCCCCCGACAGGGAAGGACTCCCTTTTCAATCCACTAACAGC